GAGGTTTTTGCCAGCAGTGTTTTTGGTAGAAGAGCAAATAAGAATGATAGCTGAAGTGACTTGGGGATTACTGGACGACACACTATTTATGCTGGTAGTGCAGAGTCAGTGGTGACCTCGTGCTGCTGAAGGGCCATTGAGGGACCAGAGGAGCATGTGAGGTCCCAAACTGGTCAAGCTACAGCCCCTGCTGTAGGAAAACCAGGCATGGGCACTCTTCAGCGTCCAAGAGAACCGTGATAAATCCTTTGCATCAGCTTCGAAATCAAAAAGTTTCCACTGTGAGTTGTTTGTTTTTTCTTGAGGACAGGGGAGGGGCTGGGGTAACTCTCCAGGCTTTGTGTTTCACCGTAGATCTCCTGTGAAGCGTAAATCTGGCGTGGTCTGTTTAAAAATACTGTGGCAGGTTTTCAGACCGCCTCTTGCTCAGGACAGAACTGCATAGGTATAAATTTCAGACCATGGTGCCCTTGAGTATGGAACCTGTGGCTGTGTCTAATGTGTCTGCAGAGAGCCTTTATTTATTCTCCTTTTGCTGCTTAGATTCATTTACATTCAGTAGAATATCATGTTGCAGTGACGCTTTACCTGACTGTAACAAATGCGAGTGGTAGGTTTTTTTTTTTTCCCCCTATTTTTAAAAAGCTGATTTGAAAGGACAGTAACTCAGAAGCAATTTGCTGAGGTGCACGTTGTTCAGCAGAATAGTTATATACAAGTCTGTCTAAAATGCTGGCAAAGGGATGGCATGACCTGCGTACGAATCCTCTCCTTCAGGAAGGAATTGTATATCAAATGGTCTGTTCCTGATTTGTCCGTTGTCACTACGTATGCATGGAAAGGCTGTAGGTTGTGTCCTTCTGAAGGATGTAATTATCTATGTCCTTCTGAATTACAGAGCAGAAATCATCAGCATATTCGAACAAGATGTTGCTGCCAAGGGGTGTCTGCAGCCCGAGGAGAGCAAACAGCCCTGTGGCTGTGGGCTTCCATGGGAACATCTGCACCTCTGGCATCCATCATCAGTTGGGCATTTTTACAGAGTTAAGATTGTTCTCAAAACCTGGAGTGAAAATACAGCGGTTAATCAAATGGTTAAAAATCAGCTTTCTGCACGTAAAACCTTGCTCGAACAGTTTTGCTGCCTCTCCCTGTTGATAGATGTGTTTGACCAACCTTAGAACAAGTAGTTTACATCCGTCTTTACATTTGATATGAGATTCCTTCCTTTAAAAGTTTGTCTTAGCTATTTGATCGCTGTGGACAAAAATAGATGGCTTTTACAAAGACACTTATGACTTCTTCCAACAGAAGGATTGCTGAGGAGAAGTGAGGAGCAGAATGGGACTGAGCCCCTGGCTAAAACCCGCTCTAATTGCAGCTCTTCAGCACCGAGATTTACCCTGAGTAACCGTCTGTCATGAGATGCTCTGTCCTTGTCCTTCTTTTCTTATTTTGCTTCTGGCGTTTCTCTAAGAGAATAATGTCAGTGTCCCAGGAGTCTACCGCTGCGGAGACAGATATGCCAGAGTTTAAAAACTTAATTTCTGGGAGAAAGTCTGTCTCTGGCATTGGCTCAGCGTGAAATGCCACGCAGCGAAGTGAAATGGAGGCCATCACATTTTAAACATTCTTTTTTCAATTTTTTTTTTTGTTTTAAAGACGCGTGTGCGAGTGAAGGACAAGCTGGGTAATAGCCCAGCCCAGGTCACGGGCTGGTGGTGTCGTGGGGCCAAAGCACGGTGGGAGCAGAGGGCTTGGTGTCCTGCCACTGCGTGGGTGCTCGTTAGTAATTAGTGCCTGTCAGTCCCTTGTCAGCTCATCTCTGGTGAGCAGTCACATTCGGGACCTTTTACTAGTGTTGCCCTTTGGCTTCTCTGCCTCTTTTAGGAGCAACATGGCATTCACAGCCACGCTGACGTTATTCCAGCTGCAAACTCTGTAATTAGTGCATCCTCATCAACGCGCAGCGTCGCACACGGGCTGTATTTCTCTGCTTTTAGATTTTTGCATGGCGTGGACTTGCCTCTCTCCCTTCTCCCACCCTCCCCGTTGGGGTTCACCCCGTGCTCAGTCTCCTCGAGCAGCTACTTTCCTCTGCCTGGCGCGTCTGCGCAGGTAACCCACGTCCCGCTTTGTGGGTATTAATATCTCTCCGTAGGCTTTTGCCCACCCCAGGCTCCGCTGTGCTCCATTCTGTTAGCCATCTGGCCTGACAAACACGCAGTCCTGGGAGCTGTCGCAGCCATTGCGTCCCTTACAGTGAGCAGAAAGGCTTTGCCTGTCGGTACCCACGGATGCTAGATCCTGTTTGAGAACATTAATAGGACAGTTTTTCTCTCTTCATGCCCCGTTCTCAGGGCCTGGAGAGCCCGTGGCTCTAAAGCTGCTCTGCCCTCTGGTCCGCCAGCTCTGGCAATTTGTTTCTGGCTCTAAGCAGCCCCCAGCACTTCAGGAGGATGCTGGAAGAGGCTCAGGGAGCATCCATGGAAGATTGCAGCCCTAGGACAATTTCTGACATCTGTCCAGTTTTGGGCCCCCTACCATAAAAAAGACATTGAGGGGCTGGAGCGGGTCCAGAGAAGGGCAACAAAGATGGTGAGGGGTCTGGAGAATAAGTCTTATGAGGAGAGGCTGAGGGAGCTGGGGTTATTCAGCCTGGAGAAGAGGAGGCTGAGGGGAGACCTTATTGCTCTCTCCAACTCCCTGAAAGGAGGGTGTAGAGAGATGGGGGTCGGTCTCTTTTCTCAAGTCACAGGCGACAGGACAAGAGGAAATGGCCTCAAGTTGCGCCAGGGGAGGTTCAGGCTGGATATTAGGAAAATTTTTTTCACTGAAAGGGTTCTCAGCCATTGGAATGGGCTGCCCAGGGAGGTGGTTGAGGCCCCGAGGTGTTCAAAAGACAGGTTGATGTAGTGCTGGGAGGTATGGTTTAGTGATGATGCTCCTTGTTTGTTGTGCGGGTGTCTATTTTTGTCAGTTAGGTTGATGGTTGGACAAGATGATCTTTAAGGTCCCTTCCAACCTAGAAGATTCTGTGATTCTGTAATAGTTGGCTTAAGCCACGAGCGAGGTATTTTAGATCTGTTCCAAAACTCTCTTTCAGCAGTCCAGCACTGGGTGCTCTGGGTGAGCTGACAGCCCTTTGCTCTGATACAGCTGCTTAGTATATGTGCTCAGTGCTCGAATTAATGTGTTTGGTTTTTTTTTTTCCTTTTTTACATTTTTATTTGACTATTCAATTCCCTGGACTGTGAGGAAGGGGAATGTTGAATAATTACCTGCTCCATAATAAATTAGTGTGAAAAGGCAACCGGTGCCATGCATCAACTTAAACTGCTGTCTGGTAAAGTTGCATTAATGTGTATAAATAATGTATATCTTTGTGGAGGAAGTGCTTTGTCTTTCTAATGAACAGTTGCCTGATTGGAGAGGCCGAAAGACTGCATACCCTTGCAAGAAAGGTTTTATTTCGCGTGTGCCTGGATTATTAAAGTGGATTCGTGATCCTGTAACTGCAACTAGGAAGTATCTTTAGCAGAATATGCTGAAGAATTTCAAAAGACCTTGTGAGAAATGACTAGCAGATGACTTTGTGGTTTGGGGACTGGTATCTCTTTCACCACAGGAAGAAGGATCAGGATTTCCGTATTGTAGTATTTAAGGAGTGATGCAAACTATACAACTGCCATCAAACAGCCAGTAAAAAATTCAGTTGTTGCTTTATAATAGTCAGTGAGCGTTTCACTGTGTGCTTTGGTTCAGAAATGCCTTGAAGAATAACCACAATAGCTGACTAATTAACAGCTAAACCAAGACGGCAGCATCGCTTGCATTTAACTGCAGTGAGGATAAGTCACTTAATTATGACATTTGTTGAAAGTCTGAAAATTGACACTTCTTTGTTCACAAAAAAAGAAAACCAAACCAAATCATTTTGCATGTTCTTAGTATCCACAGCAGGTGGTCACTGAAAGCAGGTGGTGAGGACAGTCATTCCCATCCTCTGCAGTGGCTGTGAGATGGTGTTTCTGGGGGTCACTTGGTCTTGGGTGGGAAAAGGACAGATGCTTAGGTGGATATTTGAAGCATTTTCAGTGTCCATGTTTTTAAATATTATCCCAAAATCCTGTCTGTTCCACAGGTTGTAATGTTACAATAATATGTAAAGGGTGTAGCTCTGGTCAGTCTAGACTATCCCAGGCCACACTTGGCATCTCTAATCACGGAATAAAACTTTCCTGTGCCAGCACTCAGCAAACTGGCACGCACAAGGCAGCCAATTAACCAAAGGGCAGGCAGACAGGGAATTCGGCGAAGGGAAGCTTGTCCAGACCCGCCTGACATCTTCACGTGTACGGTGAAATACAAATTGTACTTGCATATTTTATCGGTGTGAGGCTGACCCAAAGTGACCTGGAGCCTGTGTTCTGGGATTTCTAGCTTAGAGGAGCCTGAATTCCTCACTGTGGCTGAGGTTCAGCCTGACTGCACATAAATGCTTTTTTTTTTTTTTTTTTTTTTTTTTTTTTTTTTTTTTTTTTTTTTTTTTTTTTTTTTTTTCAAATGCAACTTTTGTCAAATGACTTCTTTTTTTGTTCCCTTCTGTCTCCTTTTGTCACTTGGCAGAAGGAGGTTTAGTTGCAGGGAAAGGGGAGGGGGAGAGAACTTCACTTCTGTTCCATCTCAATACAGGATTTCTGTTCTGAGCCTGCAAAATGAAGCGTTAGGAAAACAACTCAACGGGGGAAACATTTCACTGGTTGTTTTATACATTTTAGGCGCTCGCGCTGTCACTAAACAGAGCATGTAATGTATCTGTAAAATGAGCAAAAGCAGCCCAGCATCCTGAGGCTCGTGCCAGCCTCGCTGAGAGCAGGACTCTGCCACCTTCTCCTGCTGGAAGCCGTGTTGTGACCCTGGGACGGGCAGCAGAATCCCTGTGGGTGTGTGGATGGTGGCTGTGCTGATGTCTGTCCCTCTTTTGTCCCCCCTGCTAGCTGAAGACGTGGAGCGTCGATGAACTCCAGAGGAGGCTCTCAGCCCTGGACCCCATGATGGAGCAGGAGATTGAAGAAATCCGCCAGAAGTACCAGTCCAAGAGACAGCCCATCCTCGATGCCATTGAAGCCAAGAAGCGGCGGCAGCAGAACTTCTGAGCCACTGGTAGAATGTTCTTCCACCCTCAAACAATCAGCTCCTCGCTTTTATGACTACTAAACAGATTGATTTCTATTGAAATACGCTAGCAAGATAGAGGGCAATACTTCTGCTCATTTATTTTTCCATAGCACCTTTGTGAACTCAGGAATGCCACTAAGTGCAACGTCCTGATGGTATGTTTTAATGTTAGCTGTATATTTAAAACGTTATTCCGAAGGAGTTTTGTTACTGGTTTTAGGGGGATTGTTTTTAAATCAGAGGGACAGAAATAGGCTAATGAAAGTTGGCTCACTCTCTTTTCAACTGAACTTTCAGGAGTCCATTTTGTTTTAAGTTAATACGGATTGTGGTATTTAACGGCTGCATCTTTTGTAGTTCTTGGTTTTGTTTTTCTTTGTCAATGCACAGACACAATTTCAAGCTGTTAACTATATCCTACTGTTAAGGTACTGATAAGTTTTAGGTCACTGAAGAGAGCAGGTGAGAACACGTGTAAACTGTTCCAGCCTTTTGAAAGATACTTAGATCTCATTTTTTAAAAAGCCTGTAATAAGCCCCATGCCTTACACTGTGTGCTTTAAGCAAGTGTGGTTTCTTCAAGACCTCAGTTTTGTCCTCTTTTTGTGTACTTTATGAATTAACACGAGTAGAGAAAGCATGTTGTGCCTCCATCAGATATTACGTTCTGCAATTTAAAATCCACACCGACTTAAAACCAAAAGCCAATCGAGAAGCCAATCCCCCTTCGTCTGTCCGTCTGTCTGGAAATGTCCTTCAGGGAGACCCCACTGACGTTGGAGTTCAGGAGCAGGAAACAGTGTTCAAATGGGTGGAAGTTGTGTGAACCTCTCTCAGGTATTAGGTACTTCTCTGTCTGAGAGGACTTCAATATCTCCACAGTTTGTGAAATAATCTCCTGGGCTTCATTTCAGATTTACATCTTTAGATGCTTGAATAAAAACCTAATTTCACAATCCTTCACATTTCTGCGAGGTTTCGCCCACCAGAGAAGTTGAACTGAAAGTAAAGACTTTTGTTGAATTAGCAAATGTGTGTATTGATGGTGGTGGAGCGGAGGTGGTCTGAACGAGAAGACAATTACTGATGTCCTGCTGGAAGAGATGCAGTCTCTTCCCATTCCTCTGGATGCTCTTGCATTCTTTCTTTACATTTCCCTGCATTCCTGCCCAGTATAGCTCAATCAATGGAGACACCCCAGCGTGTACAATCGCTGTGAGGATGGTGCAATGAACTCACACCACTAGAGTGGAGAGTGGAACAGCAGCAGTGAAGAATTGAGCCTGGTTTGCAGGGCAGAGACCAAGTGATGCCTCTGCCCCACGGGCTGTGACAGCAGAATTACCTAGTTTTAGATTTATCTGGCATACGATGAAATATTTGGACAGAGCAAGTATTTCTACCAATTTGTTTTGCTCTGACAGAGGGAACAGTTTCCAGTCATTCTTCCAAAACAGACCTTGGTACCTCACCTAGATAATTAACTAAATAGCAGTGTCTCCTGAATCAAATGCTGCTGGAGAGGTGAAGTGTTCATTTCATGCCTCTGTAGGCTCTTCTCTTTTTTTTTTTTTCCTCTCAGAGCAGACTCTTGGCTACTGTTAACAGGTAAACTCCGTTGCTGTGAAAGGAACCAAGCCATTTTTACCCCCTCTGCAGATCTGGTTGCATCGGTCGGTGTCGGTTTGACGCGCGGTGCGAGCACAGCTGTTCAGAGACCAGCAAACCAGCTCCCCGAAGGGAGAGGGGAGGTGGGGAGCCAAGGCACATCCTGGGATAACCAGCCGTTGGATAGCCTCCAGTATTGGGAAAGTTTTGAATTAGGAAAACCGAGTAATTAAAAGCTTTGTTGCTGTTAAAGGACTAAAATCCCTTAGTCCGGACTCTCTGAGGAGATCTGGTGAGGTGCTGTGTGAACATCAGGGCTCACACAGTGCTCCTCTGAAACCCGTGCAATGCCTTTTGCCCTAAACACACGTTTATTATGAGCAATATTGGCATCAAAGAAACTCCCACAGCTTAGGAGGGAGTTCTCTGGTCAAGGGCTGGTCTTGGATTTGTCACTCGGATGGCTCTGCCCCCCCGGAGCTGTGGATATGGGACAGGTCAACGTGGCACGGATCGAGCAGATTCTGCTGGGAGTAGTTTTACCTCTGCACTGTGTAGGTAACTTTCTAGTGATCGGAGGGCATTAGAAAACCCAAGTTTTAGGTGAAACACCACAGGGTGGTGTCTATTTACAGAATATGCAACCTGTGACTGCTGTAACTGAATGTAAGCACTCTTGGAATACTCTGCTTTGCTGATGTGATTGTCTTAAAATACAGCAAATGAACCAAAATAAGTACAACTGGTCCAATGGCTTAACTGTCTTTGAACCTTTCTTAAATGCTTGCGGTGGCTGAGACTTGATGATGTTTCTTGCGCTTGGAGCTCTAATGCAGAGGAATTATTTTCTCCTTCACTGATTTTCAATCTGTTAGAGAAAATAATTCCCTTTTTGGTCCCTTTGTAGACTGTCTGGGAGCATAGTACCTGCTCACTTCCAGAGTCCTCCAGGCTAAAAACAAGGCTCGTACCGTAAGGGAAAGCTGTTCCAATGAGGTTTTTAAGCAAAAACCTTGCTTAATTGTCAAGCTGCATTTATGTGCTCCTTGGGTCCACCTGCATTGCTGAAAGCGTTCTGGACACAGACCATTATCTTTGCTTGTAAAACCCAGAGATACTGATGATGTCAGTCATGTGAGACTTAAAAATGTGAAGTTTGTAGCTTTAACTTTTTTTTGTAACAAAGAAATTAGCAACACTGGCATAAAGTGCTGACTTGAAATGCTATTTTGTAAGATCTGGCTGTTTGTATATAAGTGTTGGGTCATTAGTTTGTATATGTATGAAATAGTAACTTTTATTGCATTCCTCTGAGTTTGATACAGGAGACTTTGTTTGATCTTTCTCAAGTATCTTGCCTTATTTGTTCAAAGGGGCAAATAAACTGTCCTTACCTGAAAGCGTTGGCGTCGTGACTCGTATTTACACATTAAAATACTCTGGTTTATCAGGTCAAGTTTAAACATGTCAGATATGCTTTTTTTTTTTTTTGAACAGGCAATTCTTTAGCCTTAAAACATTACTAATTTTGTACCTCGAGGAGAGATTTGCTTCAGTTTGGGGGCAGGTCGGTGCGCTGCCAGCTCCGCGGCGGTTCTGCAGGATGAGGGATGGATGTTCAGGCTGTTTCCCCACATGGAGGAGGGCTGGGAGCCCTTCCTGGCGCTGTGATCCCCCAGGAGGTTCGCTCTGGCAGATGGGGAGGGTGTGCTCTGCTGTCACATCACACTTTTCGGAGCCCGCAGTCAGGTTTGGGACCAGGTACGTATCAATTCATCCCCCTTTCCTACCCAGGAGGTGAGGGTAGAGGCTCGCTCTCCTCGTTCTGGCTGACTTGCTGTGCTTCCAGCTTTCTAGCTCGGAAAAAGATGAAGCTGACAGTGAGTGGGTGCTGCCTTCCAACAGTGAACTGTTGGCTTCTACGTGGTTTCCCTGAGCGGTTACTAAATCTGTCCTGAAGGGATGACTAACCGAAGCGGAGACAGAATTCATTCAGGACTCAGCTCTGGTTAGCAATCCCGGAAGAAACAAAATAGATTTGAGCTTTTAAATGTTAGGAAGGAGCGTGGAAATCGAAGGGAGGGAGACCACGGGCATTTCTAGTAACTGGGAAAGCCTGGAGCTCTCCCATATTCTCAGCAACGTTACCGGGATATCGGGGAGCCCTACCCCCACGGGAGGGTTGTTCTCCCAGTGCCCCAGCAGTCCCCCAGCTCCAGGGGGGCTTCATGCTGGGAGCAGGGCCCCTGCTGCACAATTAATTGCATATAATTTAACAGAACCAACACCTGACAGGCAGCCGTGAGCTGGGGCTGATGTTTAACCAGTTTTTTCCCCATTTGGGGGAAAAGTCAACTTCCTGTGAAGCCACAGAAGCAGCAGTTTTTCTCCTCTCATAGTGGTTATCAGGATGAAGGTACAGGTATTGCTGTGCCAGTGTCCTTTATGCCCAGCTACTCTTTCCTGCACCCTCATTTTGTCCCATTTCCTCCTGTCCACAGGCCAAAAGAGCCTGAGCGTGTGCTTAGATAAATGCTTTGAGTGTTGGCTGACAGCCCTGACTTGAGAGCTGACAATTTTTCATTGCATTAATCACTCTGGCAAAATTTTAAAATAAGAGTCAAACCAGGAAACACCCATCAGCTCTTTCCAGACCGAAAGTGACTTAATTGCCCTTTAAGAGCCCAGGAAGACAGCCAACTTGTTTAAAAACTTTAAAACAATTGAATTCCATCTGGGAAGCACAGCCTGTTCCGCTCCCCTCAGATCAATACAGCGCAGGGAGCCCAGAGTCCCTGAATCCCATCCAGGGCAGCCACAGCAGCAGAGCAGCCTCTCACAGACCTGTCTCTGCACAACCAAGGGGATGGATGAGCCTTTCCTCTGCCCCCAGCAGCTCATGAGCTCTGAACCATCACTCGTTGACCGTAGAGGGGAAGATCTTGAAACAAAAGAGGGACAGGGTTTCCCCCTCTGTGCTCTGACCAGGTTGGAGGTCTGGCTGTGGGCAGGCATCGATGGTGGGGTGCTTCTCTGCCCCCCTGAAGTTGTGAGACCTGTCCAGGCAGATTCAACGAACTTAATTCCACCTCTTCAAGGCTATTCCTTTGGCTATCTCAAATGATTAGGATGAAAGCCTTGAGTTTACATGTGTCTCGCAACCAAGTTGATAGCAATGGTTCAGATAAAGGCTAAAGTAAACCCAAGAGTATATAGAGGCCTTGGGGATTTCTTACTACCAGGAGAAAGTGTTTTAAATTTGTTAAAAAAAAAGAATTGATTTAGAGCAGTGTGTGTCTTTACTGGTCTCCATACATAGTAGAAGAGAAGGCTGAGGGGAGACCTTATTAATGCCTACAAGTATCTCAAGGGCGGGCTGAGGGAGGAGGGAACCAGACTCTTTTCAGTAGTTGCCAGTGAGAGGACAAGGGGCAACGGGCACAAGTTGGAACATAAAGGGTTCCACTTGAATATGAGGAAGAACTTTTTCACGGTGAGGGTGACGGAGCCCTGGAACAGGCTGCCCAGGGAGGGTGTGGAGTCCCCTTCTTTGGAGATTTTCAAGACCCACCTGGATGCAGTCCTGAGTGGCATGATCTGACATCCTCTGAGTGGTACTGCTTCAGCAGGGGTGTTGGACTAGATGATCTCTATGGTCCCTTCCAACTCTAAAAATTCAGTGAAATTCAGCAAATACCGGAATTACGGGTAAGGCTGATTTAACACCCACCTACTCAAGCAGCCGGCTCTGATTTGTGCTCCCCGAGCTCAGATCAGGGGGGCTGGAGGAGCCTGTGAGCAGGAGGGATCCCAGGAACGCTGCTGGCCCGGAGCCTTTCCTTCCTGCAGGTCGAGCCCTGTAAAATCTCCCGGTTTTCCCATAACCAGCCGAGCGCACAGACCACGCTCAGGGTCGTCACGGATCTGGAAGTTGGCAGGGAAGTTTTAAAGAGGAATAATGACGTCTGCTTTGTCTCTTTGGAGCAGAGTTGTCTGATTCGCAGCTGCGTGAAGTAGCTTAATAAGGTCACTCCTTAATCACCGTTCCCCGGAGGCGAAAGAGTCACTCTTTCATCAATCATTTTGTGAGTGGGGAGAGCAGTTTTTGTGGAAATAACCCGATAAAGTGGTTAATTGATTTACCAACACTGTACCAAATGAAAACGCAGCTGCTCTCAGGAAAACTGCTTAGGGATTAGCCAAAGGATGTGAATTTCCTACTTGCCTCAGAAATAGTGAACCAGAGGGGTCCTGGCAGCCCCTCGAGCACACGAGTGTCTGGGGGAGGCGAGCGTGGGCTGTGACCACCCACTCCTGGCACCCGGCTCGTCCCCATTTGTGAGTGGGGAGAGCAGTTTTTGTGGAAATAACCCGATAAAGTGGTTAATTGATTTACCAACACTGTACCAAATGAAAACGCAGCTGCTCTCAGGAAAACTGCTTAGGGATTAGCCAAAGGATGTGAATTTCCTACTTGCCTCAGAAATAGTGAACCAGAGGGGTCCTGGCAGCCCCTCGAGCACACGAGTGTCTGGGGGAGGCGAGCGTGGGCTGTGACCACCCACTCCTGGCACCCGGTACCTTCCTGGCTCCGCGGAGCTGGGGCTGGGCTGGCTCTGCCTGCGCCGGGGGGAGGATTCTCCCATCACATCTAGCCGTGCAAACCCCGATGTCTGCGCAGAGCAGAGCAGGAGGCTAAAAAAAGAAAACCTTCTTTTCATGGCTTTCCCCAACCCTGGAGCTCTCGCACACCAGCCCCGCTCCGGGGGCAGCCGCCGGTCGCAGCGCGGTGGGGGGGAACTCATGGCGGGGGGGGTCCTGCCTTGTTTTTAACCCCCAAATTGGGGGAGCATTGGCCTTGGAGAGATCAGTAGCATGCAGATTTTTATTTTTTTGTGTTGTTAATGGAAAAACTCTCAAAGGAATAAAGATTAAAGTCTATTTTTAATCCTCCTCCCATCACATCTAGCAGAGGAATGTGCTTGACGCAGGGAGAGCGGCAGGAAGGCTTCCCCTGCAGACAAGCAGCCTGGAGACACCCCCCTCATCCCAGAGCATCAGAGAGGCCACTTGCAGCATCGGGAATGAGCTCAGCCTTTTATGTTGCCCTCAGGATAAAGGAGGATAAAGCCCAGGCAGCACCAGAGCACAAATTGCACCCCTGAAACACGGGAGAACCAGCTCCCGAAGAGCAGCCTGTCCCCACCTTGTTCTAGCAGGACGTGCTGGGGGGACACCTCCTCCCTGGAGAGAAAATTGGTGCTGGGTTTGGCTGGGGATGCTGCTCCTCGTGTGCCCAGCTTCTGCCTGGGGGCTTGAAACCCTCTGCAGGGGCAAAGGTATTTCCTTGGGGAGCCTGGTGCTGTGTGGTGGTCTTCTAAGCCTCCAAAGGGGCTACTCTACTTTTCTAAGATGACAAGCAGCATTAGCCAGGGGAAACCTGTGATAATTAGTAATAGCTCTCAGCTGCTGATGACCACGGTCCCTATCACAGGCAGTTTGCAAGGAAAGCAGGGGAGGATGGATGTGATTAGGGCTACTGAAGCCAAGGGGAGGTTCTCCATGCCAGGAGAGGGGAGGTAGTCACAGCTGCAGTGTCTGAGCAGCTGCTGGCCTGAGCAAGGTGGCCTGAATTTGTCTGGGTGGGCTTCAGTCCTCCCGGCTTTAGTACTGGGAGCTAAGGAAAGCAGCAGGGATGAAGGGGGGAAGAACATCAGTGTGATGGAGCAGCTCCTCTTGGGTCTCCAGAGCTGCAGTGTGGGGTATCCCCTCCTCACCCCGAGCCCTGCTCCCCTGCCCTTGGAACAGCCGTGGCTGTGGGCAAAATGGCTGGGAAGCCACCAGGGAACAAGCACACACACCCTCCAGCCTTCTGCTGACAAAGTGTTGTTTAACCGAGTTAAGCCATTAACACTTGCGCCCTAAACTATATTTTCTTTCAAAGTGGAGCCTTTTCTACCTTTAGTCCAAATCGTGGCCCACGAGCCTGGGGTTGACGTTGATTTCTTAAACCAAGAGTAGCTGTTAGTGGAGTTAACAGCTGGCTGGTGCTCGGCTGCTCCTCGGCTCCCAGCGCTGGGTTTTCACACCGATGGCTCAGCTCTCGTGTCCTTTGGTGCTGCTGATGCAGCCTGTGCCTTCCTGCACGTTCCTCCTCCTCCTCCCTGCCTGCTTCCCAGATTTCATGGGTGTGGAAGGAAGGGGATGGAGGAACGAACCAGGCTGGGATGGAGCAAGCTCTTTGCTTTGGGAATCATCCTGCATTTTTAATGTTATTTGCAATCCACTCCTGAAAGCCCCTCTGTGCTTCCCTCCCTCGGTGCCTGTGTGGCTTGTCCTGCAGCCCTCCAGCTCCCACCCATTCCCTCGCACCCCGGGGGACTCAAGTTCCTTTGGGCCTCCTGGGAGATGGGTTATCCCAGATGGCAGGGTGACACCAGTGGTCCAGGCACGAGGAATAGCTGTCACCCCCCATAGGGGCAGGGATGAGGTTGGGGACTCTCTCCAAGACGGTGCTGGAGCTGGCTCTGGGGACCTTGCAGTGGCACCGGGAGCAGCCTGGCACCCCCCCACTGCCCTGTCCCCATCTGGGCTGACGTGCACCCCGAGCTGCCACCACACAGAAAACCAACCTCCAAAGCGGGTCACTGAGGTCTTTAATAAAATATACAGTATGCATCCCATGCATAGATAGAAAATTAATTTACATGCTCTTTTCATTATTTGCATAATGCTTTTTAATTAATACATGTAATTCAGTCTTCACATTTTAATATACTTTGCTACTGGAATACTTATGCAGAGAAGGGGAAACTCCTTCCTTTATTCAAGTAACAGCGGGAGCTGGCGGGAGCGGGGGATGGAGCTCGCCGGTCCCTGCTCGCAGTGGGAAGGAGCGCAGAGGGGACCACAGACCATCCATACTGGAAGACTCAATGATGCCAGGAGCTTGAGCACCCTCCCATCCCACACCCCCCGTTCCCTGGGGACCCCTCCCCGAGTCCCGGTGAGGTTCAGAAAGGCTGAACCGACGGCACTGGTGCTGGTTTGTCTTTTCTTCCCCATGATCAGCAGGTGACTACGGGCAGAGCCGGTGCCAGCAACTGCAGAGACAACTGAAAGCCAGCTGGGACAACCAGCACGAGACCACCCTTCAGGTGCCTGGGGCCATCCTCCTGCCATCAACCTCTTTTTGAGCCCATGAGGTGACTGCAGGGTTCCTCCTGCTCGGAAGGGGCATGGCTGGGTGCATTCTTCTGTGCACAAAGATGCTGCACGGTTTCCAAACAGAGAACTGGGGGGCAAGGAAAAACTCCATGGGGAATTAATGCTGTGCTGGGAACAGCCCCAAACGTGCTCAGCTGGTCAGGGATCCGGGTGGGAGTGCCAGACCCCCCTGCCCGGCTGTGAGGTGCTCAGAGGCTGCGGTGACGAGGAGCAGTGCAAGGTCCCCCCTGCCCTGGCTCTCCCACAGACACGGGGGGTGCTCCCCCCCCACGGAGGGAAGGTGAGTGCATTGGCACCCGGGGAGCTCGGCTCCCTGTGGGGACATTGGTGATGCCCGGGGCAGTGTGACCCCCCTCCTGCCCCTGCCTGGCCCCAAGGCAGGGAGAGATGAGGCAGCAGAGCGAAGCTGGACTGGGGGTTGTGGCGAGGGGGACTGGGGCATGTACCCAACCCAGATGGCTTTGGTCATCTCCTCCATCCCATCACGGGCTGCTGCAGCCCTGGGGCTCCCCGGCAGCTCTTCCCATGGTGGAAATCATAAACACACAGCAGTGGCAGAGGCTCCATGCCCAGGAGCGTGCGCCCCATGTCTGCTCCCTGACAGCCCTTTGCAGGGTCTCTGCCTCCTCTCTGCCCCGGGGGATGGTTTGGCTCCTCCAAAACCAATGCCCCCGTGGCTTCGGAGCCCCACGGAGCAAAGGACTTGGCGGGGAGATCCCTACTGGGGGTGGCCCCTCAGTTCCCCCAGCCTCATCCCCTCTGGCTGCTCCTGCCTTGGAGGACGGGGTCCCTTTTGCCCCGTCATTCCCTGCGGGTCTCCCCCAGTGCTCCCAGCTGTGCCACGATCCCAGCACAACCCCAGACCCACATCCCTGGGGGTCCCACGGGCAGCAGTGCAGGAGAGCAGTTAAACCCCACCTGCAATGGGAGGAAGGTGAGGTCCAGCCGGTCCCACTGCAGGGGCTGGGGACAGTGGGGCTCACCCTGGGCTGGACACCACATGTCCTTCCATGCAGACTGATTTCCATCCCATTTTGCCCCACAGCCAGTGGGGCCTTTCGAGGCTGTTTCCAAGGTTTGGGGCTGGAGTTGATGCTGACCTGGCACAGGACCGGCAAGGGCAACCAGCCTGGTTGGGGGCTGCATCACCCTCAGGCTACTTAAACTCACCCTGGACAACACTAAAGCTCAGGGCAGAGGCAGATCCCCCTTCACGCAGCTGTGGCAGTGCCTGATCGGGGGTCACCTGTGTTTCTGTTTTCCTCACTCCCTTTCTGGCAGGGGTATGTCCAGCGCCGCGGCCTCCGTCTGCAGCCAGGGGGGAGCAGGGCCATGGCCAGGTGAAGGCTGAAACATGTCCAGGAGGACCCAGCCGCTGCGTTCCCAGGGGCTGGAAGCAGCCAGCACCCGCTGGGCATCTCCTCCAACCCCTCCTGTCCTTGGCAGGGCAGGGATGATGCCAGGCGTGGTGCCAGATGGGGAGAGCCTGGCTCCTCCGCCGTGTCCCGGTGCCACAGCCCATACTTGTGGGTCCCGTGCATGCCCCGGTGCAACGGCACAGTGGGGTCAGGGTGTGGGGTGGGCACCGGGGGTCAGACCGCGGCGGTCGGGGCTGCCTCTGCCCAGGGAGGTCTCGCTCAGAGCCTCCGAGTCCCGGTCGCGGCTGGAGACGCTCTCCACCTCCTCAGGGTCTTTCTTCCCGCTGTTCCTCACGGCCGCCTCCAGCGCCTTCTGCTTGCGGTAGAAGTGGGAGAACTTGTTGAAGATGATGGTGATGGGCAGTGCCACGACCAGGATGCCCCCCAGGATGCAGCCCGAGGCGGCCAGCTTGCCCGCCACCGTGACGGGCACCACGTCGCCGTAGCCCACGGTGGTCATGCTGACCGTGCCCCACCACCAGCACGCCGGGATGGTGTCAAAGCCAACGTCTTCCTCCTTCTCAGCCGTGTAGGCCACGCCGGAGAAGACAGAGACCCCCACAGCCAGGTAGAGCAGCAGGATGCCCACCTCCCTGTAACTGTTGCCCGCCACCGTGACGGGCACCACGTCGCCGTAGCCCACGGTGGTCATGCTGACCGTGCCCCACCACCAGCACGCCGGGATGGTGTCAAAGCCAACGTCTTCCTCCTTCTCAGCCGTGTAGGCCACGCCGGAGAAGACAGAGACCCCCACAGCCAGGTAGAGCAGCAGGATGCCCACCTCCCTGTAGCTGTGCTGGAAGGCAAAGCAGAGCGGTGGTCAGTGGGTGCCAGGATCCCGCAGCACAAACACAGCCCTTTGTGTCTCCATCGGTGTCTCAGTGCCTCCATCCATCTCTGCCGTGGGACATCCCGCTGTGGGCCTGGGCTGAGACAGGTTGGGGGGGTGTGGGTGACCCACACCTGGAGCGAGTGGGGCAGCAAGGAAATCAGCCCTGGCACCCCCAGGAGCTCCCACCAGCAACCTGTGAGGGGGAGGCAGTGCTGGGAGGGAAAGGGGACCTCTGTTTCCCAGCCAGTGATCCCCGGCAGAGGCTACCCCCTGCCTCCAGCACTCACTCCAACCCCATCTCGGCTAACGATATTTAGACACATTTTTTCCCATTTTCCTTTTATCTTGGCAGGTCCCCAGAAACCACCTAATGGGCAGCCTCTAAGTGAAGCGATTTGTATTTTCATGATGTGCTCGCAGGGAGGACGTGTGTCTCTGCTGCGGGCTCAGCTCCAGCCCTTCAGCCCCAGGCTCCCCGGCTGCCAGGGAACCCCACAACTAGACCCCCAGGGACCTCAGCCCTCCTGTCCCCCAACACCTTCTACAGTCTCCGCATCCATCTAACCCTTTGTGAGGGTGGAATTTTCTTGCAGAAACTGCAGTTTCTGAGATAATTACATTTCCTTGCTGGTTTTGTGTGGGAGACTCAAAGCAAACCTGAGAGCTGAGAGGAATCCAAGCAGCCCTGGTCGTTGGGTCACAGAATCACAGCATGATATGGGGTTGGAAGGAACCTCTGGAGATCATCTAGTCCAACCCTCCTGTCAGAGCAGGGTCACCTAGAGCAGGTTGCACAGGAACTTGTCCAGGTGGGTTTTGAATATCTCCAGAGAAGGAGACTCCACCACCTCCTTGGGCAGCCTCTTCCAGGGCTTTGCCACCCTCAAAGGAAAGAAGTTCCTCCTCATGTTTAGGTGGAACTTCTTATATTCAAGTTTGTGCCCATTTCCTCTTGCCCTGTCACTGAAAAAAGACCAGCCCCATCCTCCTGACACCCACCTTTAAGTATTTATAGGTGTGGATCAGATCCCCCCTCAACCTTCTCTTCTCCAGACTAAAAAGACCCAAGTCCCTCAGCCTCTCCTCGTAAGGGAGATGCTCCAGGCTCCTCATCATCTTTGTAGCCCTCTGCTGTACCCTCTCCAGCAGTTCCCTGTCCTTCTGGAACTGGGGAGCCCCAGGGCAGTCCAGGGATCCATCTAACAGCAGCATGGGCTGGTGTCAGCCCCTGGCTCCCATGAGGTGCTGCACCCCCAGCTCGCCAAGCTCCAGCCCGATGGGTCTGGGAGCCCTGGTGGGAATGGGGCCATGGGACAGGCTGACAGCAGGGGTGTGCAACGCTCCTTGAAGAAGCCATCGGTCGTTTCTCTGGTTTCACACTAAAACATCTGTGTTGCAGTTTGTCATTGGATCTCCTTAATTTTTGAGCAGAGTACAAACCTGTGCTAAAACCCCGGGGGGCAAAAAGGTGGTGGGCAGTTAGGGGACCAGGCAGCGAGTGATACTGGGAGGGAGACTGCTGATGAATGAGCTGGGACCAGGCAAAAGGGTATGGGCCAGCCCTGGGACAAATCCAGCACCCATCTCCCGTCCTTGTCCTGGCGAGGTGTGAGCCGAGAGCCCTCCACGCAGTGGGGATGGGGACCCCAACTCTTAGAGCCTCACAGACCAAGAGGAGGGGACCATGAAGCCCTTGTTTGCTGGCAGGGCCAGGCCAACCACCCGCCAGTGCCAAAGCCACCACCATCCTCACAGCACGGCTAGTCCCCTCGCTTTTTGACTGTCACAAGCCAACTTCTTGGCTGTTTCTGCCCACTGCTCTTCATCTTTTGGGGAAAGGAAAACCAAGCTCTGATCATGGGGGGGCGGTTTCCAGTCTCCTAACAGCCAGAGAACGCTTTCTTGGAGACCACATAATGACTAAACAAAACAACATTCGAGCAAAGCAAACAGCAGAAGACGTGGGAAAAGAGCTTCCAGGGTCAAGACAGAGACGTGAAGGAGGTGGATTCACGGCAGGGAGCGAGGAGACTTTGCTTTGACTGCTGGCAAAAGCTGCTCAGCTAACACCAGTAACACCAAGGGGAAATAATATCCTCCACTGCCGCCATCCACTGTGGCTGCAAATGCCCTCCAGCAGCTCCAGGAGAGCTCCTTGAGAAGGACAAACAGCTCAGAGCCACCGAGTTTCAAGGACGTATCACTTGGCCATGAAAGGCTTATTCCTGGCTGGAGCTTATCAGCACGTCTGTGGGTCCCGGACGGGGAGCAGCGGAGCCGAATAACCTTATACATTTTTAAAGAGTGTCAGTTATGGCCCTGGGATGTGTTGGAGGGTGAGGGGGAAGACAGGCAGCTCGATAGCTCCAGCTGCTTCAATTTACAAGCAGGGTCAGGGCTTGCGGCACAGGGCGGTTCCAGGAATTTCCTATCTGATCCTATTTGCAGCCATTTATCCTCAAAAGGTGTGGTTGGCTCATTGATCCAGGGGCAGGCAGAGGCAGCTGGGGTTCAGCTGGGATGCAGGATTAGCTGGGATTTGGGTGGGGATGGGGTTTTACCTATAGTTTGGGTGGGATGCAGTTTTAGCTATGGTTTGGGTGGGATGCAGTTTTAACTGGGGTTTGGGTAGGGATTCAGTTTTAGCCATGGTTTGGATGGAATGTAGGATTAGCTGGGGTTCAGGGGGGATGCAGATTTAGCCAAGGTTTGGGGGGGAAGCAGGATTAGGTGGGGTTTGGGTAGGGATGCAGTTCTAGCCATGGTTTGGGGGGATGCAGGCATAGCTGGGGTTCAGGTGGGATGCAGTTTTAGCCATGGTTTGGATGGGATGCAGTTTTAGCCATAGTTTAGGGGGATGCAGGTGTAGCTGGGGCTCAGGTGGGACACAGATTTAGCAAGCAGCCTGGGGAGGTGATGCTGGATAATAAAAGGCTCCAGCAAAACCACCACCCCAGCAGCAGTCTTTTTGGGCTCTTGCCCTGGGAGGAGGTCTGCCTGCCCTTGCGACAGCCGTGGGTGGGCTCCTTCCCCAGCTGAATGTACACCTCTCCTCCAGCACAGCAGAAGACAAATGAAATGGAAAAGCCTGGTTTGAGCCTGACTGGAGATACCAGCATGGGGACCGAGCACGGAGGTGGCCCATAGAGATGGCTACAGCAGCAGGGTGACGCATCTGCTGCCTGGGGACGTGCAGCGCTGGCTCTTCCCACCTATTTGTGTATTTAGGCCCCTCAGGGGACAGACAGCAACTCCTGGAGATCCCTGCAGATGCCTAAATTACTCAGCACCTGACACCTATTGACTGCCAGTGGGAGACAGGACCAAACCAAGCTGCAGTACCAGCGATGGATGTCGTACACGGCGGGGAGGGAGAGCAGGACGTGTGGGAAGCCTCTCCTCAAATTAAATAGACCCTGAATCAGGCCCCAGCCGATCTGAAGACGGTTTGGAATTTATGATGCCCAAATGGCAGAAATCCCTCTGCTAGCACTTTGGTGGCAGGGGAACAATTACTCGCCTCGCCAGAGCCATCGCTCCCGCTTCCTGGCTGTGAACGGCCCTTCCTCCTCTGCTGCTGCTTTATGCTCTCGCAATAGGAAGTAAATTATGATTAACAAGACGTCGTAATTTATGTGCCCAGTAAATCACAACGCCAAGCTGCTGCGTCAGACCTGTGTCTTCTCTCATCCCCATTTACAGCTGGCTCCGGAGTCCCCGGGAAGCGGCTCTTTCCAGCGCGTCACCGGGTGAATCAGCGGCTCGGCAGAGGCCGGAGCCGGGATGCTGCCGGCTCCCCGCATCTCCTCTGCTGCTTAATAACATGCAGATGAGCCCGTCAGTCCCCGCTCTGCTGCAACGAGTTGTTCACGCTTAACTGGAGCACGGAAAGGGTTCAGGGAGCCCTTCCCACGTGTACAGTTTTATTTAAATTCCACAAGGTCTGTCACTTGCTAATTGTTCTCTCAAGGTGAGTGTTCAGAAGTAACTGTGATGCAGATTGGACTTCAGTCATCTTCATTTCAAACAATCCTCCCTGGACCCCGTTTTCAGCAGGCTTTGAGGATGTCAGGAATTTTTTCCTCCCCATTTTTTTTCTGAAGCTCTGTGAGATTTGCAGGATTAACGGTGGGCTGGTCCTGCTTCACAGCAGAAGTTGGCAGAAGACCTTTCCTGCCACCCATCTTCATCCTCAGTTGCAACTGAGGGTTGTTTTTCTCCACAGCTCACCCACGGGAATGGGTCCAACCCTGGCAGTTGAGTCCTGCTGACACTGGGACACCCCATGCCGGCCCTGCCACTGCTGCAGCAGTGAGAAAAGGGATGTCCCCAGCTGTGGCTGTGCCTGCTTCATCCCCGAGATGGGCTCTCGGAGGGAGCAGCACCAGGACCACCAGCTCCGGCCCTTGCCATGCACTGAGTGGGAGGAGAGCATCCCTTTGGTTGGATTTCAAGCTCTGTTATGAAGATTGCTTTCCTTGGCCATTTGTTTGGCACAACACTTGTTTGAAAGGAGAAAAGGTACAAGGATATTTGCATGAGCAATGCTGAAAAACCAGTCTTCTGGTTTGAATGTGGGGACAAGCGGCAGTCCCACAAGCAGAGGAGGTGTTTGCCCTGGTGACCATCACCCCGTGTCCAGCACAAGCCCCATGTGTAGTGGGGACTCGGGAGACTGTGTCATTCTGTGTCCTGGCAGGCTCGAGGACTGGCTTTCGGATTTGTCTTGATGTGGTCGCCAAGAATCAGAGACAATTAAAGACTGAGTTTAATTGGCCTCTGCATCGGGCTGGATTTTCTGTGTAAGCACAGGAGGTGAGGGGACAGTTTCACCCTCCCCAGATTTGGGCACATGGTCCCCAGCAGGAGGGGGATGGAGGATGGAGGGATGGATGGTGGGGGAGAGCAGAGACCTGCATGGGGCACTGAGGCTGGTCCCTGCTGCAGAGCTGAGCTGTGGTGATGGAGGTCTGGGCTGCAGCACCAGGCTGGTGAGGATTTCATGCTGGCTTCATGCATTGACTCTTGTCACAGTTGGTCTTGCTCGGCCTAAGGAGGCTGGGGGTGCTGCGGAGGGGGTCTGGAAAGACACAGCCTTGAGGCATACCACTGAGGATCTCACCAAACCTGCAGGGGTGCCACCTCTTGGCATGCCTGGACCCTGGTCCTTCATTGTCTCAGCATCTCATCCAGCTCTTCCTCCTGAGGACAGGCCCTCCTGGGCCCAGCTTCCCCCAGCCCTCCTTTCCCCAAGATTTCCAGCATGCTGAGGGGCAGCGGGTGGTAGCCCAGTCTCTGCTGGGAGCATGGACCTTGCCTTGGGCTGGTTGTCCCAGGCACTGCTGCTAACCCTTTGCTTTTCTATTGCCACTCTGTGCTACCCATGGCTAATTATGTGCCAGTCCCATCTTTGTCATACCCTGGGGCATCCGAGTGTCAGCCCAGCTGGACCAGGAGCTCCGTGTCTCCCTAGATGGACAGACACCAAGGGTTGGATGCTGGCCTCTGGCCACCTGGCAGTGTGCCCTTAGGAGACTCTCCCTTCTCCCAGACTGGGGACAGGAGCAGCTCTGTGCCACACACTGGTGCTGGCACACTCAGCAGCTGCTGGTCCAGCTAGGCACTGACCTGCTTCTGGTGGGACGTCACCATCCACCCATGCACGGCTGAGTTTGTTCCACCACCTTGCAACAGGGCTTGCACACCATGGTGGGGAAGGGATGGCTGAGTCCCTGAAAGCACCAGCTCTGCCTGAAGCAAAGTCTGCATCCATGGAGTGACCTGTTGTTTGCTCTGAGCATGTGGACAAAGAGGACTCATGCAGTGCTCCCCATGCTTGGTTGTTTTAGCAGACACACAAACCAACAGCCCAGCCCACCACCCCAAGCATGCTCATCAGACACCACCCCAGGCTGATAGCTCACTGGGAATGGGAATGTCCACATTCCCCAGCTGCATCAGAGGTCTCCTTCTTACCCAGAGACCTTTGATGATAGATAAGGAGATAGATAAGGAGATAGAGAGCCAGTTTACCTTCAAGGTGGCCCCCAGTGACCTCAGTCCGGTGGAGTGCCGAGCCAGCTTCAGCACCCGGAATATCCTCATGAGCCGAAACACCTGCACCACCTTCCCGAGGTTGCCCAGCTCCGAGTCACTGCCCATGGTCACGTCCACCAAGAGGGTGAAGTAGAAGGGCAACACCGAGACAATGTCAATTATGTTCAGCGGGTGCTTGAAGAACTTTCTGGGGTTGGGGGAAAGCAGGAGACGGGAAGACACTTCGAAGGTGAACCAGGAGATGCAGAAATACTCCAGCTTGTGCAGGACCGGTTCGTCGAGCACGTTGCCGTTCTCATCCACATCCTGGTACTCGGGCATGCTATGGATGCACATGGTGGCTATGGAAACCAGCACCACGCTGATGGACACGAAGCTGAAGAGCTTGCTGGGGATGGAGTAGCCGGGGTTCTCCATGGTGAGCCAGAGGCGTTTGCGCACGTTGCCGCAGCGCAGCGTGCTGTAGCGCAGCAGGTCGTGGTTGATGTCAGAGATCTCATCGGGGGACGTGTCCACGCTGCTGACCTCGCTCTCCTCATCCCAGTTGTGGTGCCGGCTCTCCAGCTTGCGCTCATGGTAGCGGTAGCTGCAGCAGGAGTCCAGGAAGAACTCGTTGATGCCCCAGTACTCGATCTCCTGGCAGAAGGAGAAGACGCACAGCTCCTCCATGACGTGCAGCTTCCCCGTCTGGTAGAAGTGGAGCACGTAGAGGAAGAAGCCGGGGTTTCGGTCAAAGTAGAACTCCCTGGCGCTCACGTCGTAGTCATCGCAGAGCTGCAGGATGGACTCCTCCGAGTCGCAGGAGAGCAGGCGTCCCAGGCGGGTGTCGGGGAACTTGGAGAGGGCGCTGGAGCTGAGCCGCCTTCTCAGACCCCCCACATTGATGTTGATAACGTCCTCCTCAAAACCGGGACCCCAGTAATTTAAGGTCTTGTTGACCATGATCAGCAGAGCGGGAGCTGGTTCCACCTGCGGGCGAGACACAGCGGGGCTGGAGAGGACACAGGGCTGTAGGGGACACAGGGCTCCCCCCGATCCGGGTGGTCCCAGGGCAGGGGGGGAGCAGAAACACCCCAGGGGAGCGAGGGGGGATGTCTGCATTTTTAAAATTGAGGACCAGGGAGAGGGTTGGGAAACCGCTTTGGGCGGTTGTTCTTTGGTGGTATGGAAGGAGAAAAAAAAAAAAAAAAGCCAATAATTTTTCCAGGTCAAACTTTTCCCTGCTTTTTATTTTTTACCTCTTAAAGTTTCTCCCTTTGCTAATGGCCTAAGGCAGGCAGTTTACTGCACCTCCAGCACCTGGGATTTCCTTGTTCAAACAGGTAATTAGGCACTGAAGAGAGGATTTATCCCTCCAAAAAGGCTCCTCCGTGGAAAAAACATCTCCTCAAACCACCACCGCAGTGATTCTGCCAAAGAGCTTTGTAGCCCGACTACCCATGTTGCTAATTAGACCTGGTCAAAAAGTCCTTAGATGGTGCAATCTTCCCAGCAGCAAAAGCAGTTTTGCCAAAATCAAAGTGTTTTCGCAGAAGGTGTCAGTTTTAAGGAGAATTTCAGGAAAAAAGTGTCAAAACAATTCATCTGCCTGCTTTGTTTCCTCTTGTGTGTTCTATCAAGTAAAATATTAAGATTCTTTTTACAATGTTGAAACATAACAAAAACATGATTCAGAATCATTGATGACTCTGAATTAAAAATCTGTATGTTGGTAGGAAAATAAAAGCTAAAATTTTGATTTCTATTGTGTTTCAGGATTTTAAAAGTTTCGGGAAGCTGGGCTTTTCCGTGCAGCAGGAATTCCATTTTCTAATGAGCAGCAGTTAAAGCACCTAATGAAGAGAAGCAATCACACACCTTCAAACGCATTTACCCATCTTGACCAGAAGCTTAGAATAAAAAGGTGAATAAAAAGGCAAGTTAAAAGGTTTGTGATCTTCCTGCACCTTGAAATCAGACTTCTCCTCCCACCTTATTCATCCAAACACCTGGGGAGGTGCAGAGCAGCCCATCCCCACACAGTCCCTCGCTCCTGGTGCTGGGTGTCCTCAGGAGGGATGCTGCCTTTGCTCTCTTGGTTGAGGAATTATATTTTCATACACACATTGGCCACTTTGGGAAAATCCAGCTATTAGGTGTGACTTATTCCTGAGCTCTGCTTGCTCTTCAGGGCGGCTGCTGGTGCCGACACGACTTCTGCAGCCCCTGATGGTTGTGCTGCAGCAATCGCTGAGACGTTTGTGACCTCCAGACTGGCCTGTGTCCCATCCCAAAGCCTTCCCTCCCTGGTTTTAACCAGCAGCTTGTTAGAGAAAGCCCTCACCTTCTCTGTCTTTTATCACCCAGTGAAGTTTTTAAACTTTTAGGTGACGCAGGAAGAGAGGCCACAGAATGGCAGCAGGAGATGAGGGAAAAGGCTGCAGCAGACCCCTTGATGTTGCTGAGATGCCACCAGACCCCACACAGGAGAGTCCAGTCTGACAGGAGCCACCAAGAACAGGTCAGTGACATGAGGAGGGTCCCCCTCCCAACCAGGGGAATCCCAGCTTCCCTGCAGACCCCATTGCACCCCAGCCCTGCATCGCTCACTGGGCATCTCATGGGGTTTACGGGGAACACCAAAGCAGGGGAAGGGCTCTGGGTGTTTTCCAGTGTCAGAGAAACGCAGTGTAAAAGGTTTGCCAGACCGGGAGGGACCTGGAGGACACTTCACATCTAAATCTGGAGGTCAGAGCAGAGCTGGAGAGGAGCAGGTACCGGAATAATGGTTAGAAATAAACCCCAGAGGTATGTTTTTAAGCTGAGCAGGGCTGTGGGAGCAGCAAATGCCAGATTTGTGCCAGGCAAAGGCATCTGCTAACTCCACTGCATCTCCCAGCCAGGGCTCCTTAAAGACACAGGCTTTGCACCACAAAACCAGCGCTTCCCATTACACCACGTCTGGAGGAGGCAACGGGCTTGTGATAAGCCTCAGAGCTTAATGGGCTAATTGTCTCGCTTTTCAGTGGGGAGGAAATAAAATGAAGGATCAACTTTTTGAACGCTTAAGACAAAAGCGAGAGAGAAAAAGGGGTGTAAACACTCCTTTTCCAGGGATAAATTGGAATTTCTGTGACAGATTCGCTTTTCCAGGGAAGACATCACACAGCCCATCTGTGGGGTGGGGATGACTAATCCAGGTTCCTTCCAGAAGGATGCTCATGCATTCAGGCTACAAACACACACACACTCGCACACACAGGGCCCTGGGGGTGGGTCTGTGGGATCCAGCTTACCCCACACCATCCTCAGCCTTTCTCTGCACCTTCCCCGTACAGCAGCCACCCTGGGAGGGCAGGCCAAATGTCACCGAAATCAAAGACAAGGTGGTTTTGGGGCTGGGCTGGGGTACCCGGGTGGTTACAGGGGCTGTGCTGGGGAGGCAGGACAAGCCTGAAGCGTGGTCCAGCTCAGCAGGACCATCCCCAGTGCGTGGCTGTGGGTGAGATGGCAAAATCCCGAGAGCCAGGGAGGAGACGGCTCCCACCTCTCTCCTAGCTCAAGAGAAAAAAGTGGGTGTCAGGACCCTGTAAGCCCTTGTACCCCAGGGAAATCCCTCCCTCCATCTCTCCATCCCTCCCACGCAGGAAGCAGAGCGAGGAGAAGGGTCGCGAACTGTCTGAGATGCTCCTTTCTGATGTTCGCTTCTGAATAGAGCAAATTATTGCTGCCCACATACAGCTTTCATGGAGGAATCTAAAGCAGCAATTAATAGTTTTATAACTCTTTCTCCCTGCTCATTTCATGACTAGCTAAGCTCAGCTTTAGAACAAAACTGAGGTTTGAACTAAGACCTGGCGTGATCTCCCCTGTTGGATGCGCCCGGCTCGCGTTTGCAGGGGTATCTGCTGGGAAACAGAAGCTTACGTCGGGAAGGTCGGGTGTTTTTTTATTTCAAAGCACAATGGACAGAGAATACAAATGTGTCTGTCTGGAATAATGTGAATTTGCAAAATTTTCCTCTAGTTAAAGCAAAATTGCCATAAATGACTGGTAAAATAGAACAGACAAAGCCTGTTTCTTTCCGATAAATGTTGAAATACACTGTAATCTATTTTAAGGAGACAACCACCAGAATTACACAAGCCCAGTGCGAGCTGGGTGTTGGGCACTCAAATGAATATGTATCTTGTGGAGAAAAAAATCTCTGATACATGCATTTATGACAGTAAAAAATATAAAAACAGATCAAGCATATCTGAAAGAAATGCTAGAAGAGTTTCCCTTGACAACGTATTTTTTTCTTAAAGCCTTTCAAATGGAAGTTATGTATATTTATTCTAACTGGGAGAGGGGACCCACGGGAGTGGGAAGGAAGATGCTAATAGACATTCAAGAGAGGATGCAGCAAGTGCAGGGAGTATCGCACACAGGGGCTTTTCCAACCAGGTACAATGGATTTAGATTAACAGTCCAAATAAAAAGCCCTGTACTTACAGCTCAGCGAGGCTTCCCAGCAGGGAGTCGTGTGGCTTGTCTCAAAGGAGCCATTAGAAATGCGTAGAGAAGGAGGAAACCCTTCATCCTTTGCCTGTAGCCCAGTCCCACATGCCCTGTTACCCCAGCCTAGCGACCCCACACACCCCAGATGTGCAGGGCTGGTGGCTGCAAATCCCTGGAGGAAGTCCTGAGCGGGATGCCCATAGGGCTGGGGGTCCCCCTCTGGGTACCTGGGGGGGCAGTGGGGCTGTCTGACCTCCCAGCTCCTGCAGGGTGCTGTCCCTATCAGCCATGCACTGGGGAAGGACTAAAGGTGGGGAGAAGCCTGCTTTCTGGTCAACCAAAAGTGCCCATGAGGAGTCCTGTCCCCATCACTGAGGGTCCCTGTGCCCGTCCACCTGAGGATGCTGAGGACCAAGCCCTTCCTTCGGCAGTGCCAGGGGGGAGGATGGAAGGGGGATTCCCACCGCCGGCTGCTCCCCGCAGGCAGAGCTTAATCCGCTGCTGTACACTGAGAGGCCACCCAAACGCCCAGGGCTGGGGATGCAGATGATGGGGGGGGACTCCCTGCTCGCTTTGGGGTGCGGGAGGGGGTGATTACCAACAGTTGGGGTCTCTACTGCCAGCGGGCAGCCCACTGCCTGCTACAGATGATGCCCTGCCCTGTGCCAGCCTCTGCTCTCAGGTCCCAGGCGGTGGGTACCACTCTCCGGAGGGGCCCCCCGTGCCCTGCTCCCCTGAAAAGGGGGACACGCACCCCCCGTGGGGGCAAGGCTTCGGGGAGGGGGTCTCTCCTACACCCACCTGCGGAGAGATGGGAAGGGGTATCCCTGTGCTCCGGTTCCCAGCAGCATCCCGGGATGCGGTCGCTGCCTTGGTGGCTCCCAGCTCATCCCGGGCTGTCGGTGCCTCCCTTCCCCGCTCACCCCGCTGTGCCGCTGCCCCGTTCCCTGCTCACCCCCTTCCCCCCCGCCTCTCCCCCCACATGCCGCTGCTCCCGTTGCCCTCTCACCCCAGGATGCCGGTGCCCCGGTTGCCCGCTGCTCCTCAGGGTGCCGATCCCTGCAGTGCCCGGGGGTGCCGGTGCCCGGGGGTGCCTGCGCCCCGCTCCCTGCTCCTCCCTGGGATGCCCATCTCACGCTCCTCGCCGCCCCCGGGGGATGCCGGTGCCCCGGATCCCCCTCCCCGCCCCGCGATGCCGGCTCCTCGGGATGCCGGTGGCTGCCGCACCCCGGGATGCCGGGTACCCCGGGTCCCCGCGCTGCCGGTGCCTGCAGCACCCCGGGGAACCGGAGCCCGGCCCCACTCCTCCGCTCACCTGCCTCGGCGCCGCCCCCGCCGCAGCGTGCGCGGAGCCGCGGAGCCCTGCGGGGCCGGCGGCGGCGGCAGAAGCTCGGCGGAACCGGAGGGGACGGGGGGTCCCGCCCGTCGCCCCTCCCGGGGTGCCGCCCTCCCGCCCGCCCGGAGCCGCGGGGTGGGAGCGGGGAGGCGAGGTCTACCCCCGGCGGATGCGGTGCGTCCGGTCCCTCCCGGTGCTCCGGGGAGTCCACGGGGGCGACCTCCCCTCCCCGAGCTCCGGGAGGGAGAGATGGCTGGGGATGCCCCGGGGATGCCCCGGGGGGAAGCCCACCCCTTCCCTCGGAGAAGCCCACCGGGATGGCAACACGGGGGACCCGATTTTGGCCAAACCGGCTGGCGGGTTGGCACAACTCTGGTGTGAGGCAGGTGGTCTCTGGCAGTAGGGTGGGTAACCTGGGCCAGGCATGGGTATGCCCACCCCGATGGCCTTACCTTACCTGCTGGAAGCGCCTGCGGGACGGCTGGTGGGGGCCGGGGTGGGGGTACAACCCTCGTCCTCTCCTGGCCTACCCCAGCGCTTGGCAAAGCTGCCCAAGTGGTGAATGCTGCCCTTTGGGGGGGTGAGCCCCAGGGGGTATCTGGGGTGCAGCGTCCTGTCCCGTGCTGTGGGCGCTCAGGCCGAGCAGGGCCCCAGCAGCAGTGCCTCCCTGTGCCGGGCACACCATGTCCCTCTGCCCTCGCAGTCACCCTCCGGGCGATCCAGCTCCATCTTCCTCCTTGGGACTGGGGGTGAGTAAGGCACCGGGGCAGCTCCCCCCCGGGGAAGAGCCTCCCAGGCTGGCGGAGCTCCCCGTTGTCTCTTTAGACGCTGGTTGGGGAAGGCAGAGAGTCCCAGGCATGGCACACGCTGCGTTTCAGGTCAGCGAGCTGCCACCGCCACCCGGGGCCATCCCTGCACGGCTTGGGGACCGCTGCGAGCACCCCAACTCCCCAAAAAGTCAGCGGCCAGAGTAGAGAGACGGCAAAGAGAGGATGGGAGACCTTCCTGGGGTGACGGCCAGGGCTGCACGTCCGTGCAGAGATGGCTCATTGCTCCGGCAGCCGGCACAGAGCTGCTGGGTCAGAGCGGCGACACGCACGGGGCCAGACTTCACACCATCCTCCTCAGCAGATCCGTCAGCTTGGCTGATTCCAGCCCCAGGGGCTGGAGCCCAAGGGCCCTCACCCTTCTCTGGGCTTGCCTGTGGCTGGCTGAGAGCTCTTCTTGGTGGCGAGCATCCCCCGCCTCCCGCTGCGCTGCCAGCCCCGTCCCTGCGCCAGGCAGCGCTCGCCGCTGCGGGGCCATCAGCGTGTTTCCATGTGTGTGATGTGTCAGACTGTGTGTGCCGTGTGCTTGTTTACATGGGAAAGGAGGCAGCGGAGGGAGGGGGAAGGGACGACTTGGAGGGAGGCCTCAGAAAAGAAAAAAAAAAAAAAAAAACAAAAAAAACCCAAGGAAAAAAAAAAAAAAAAAATTGAGGGAAATTCTCTTTT